TTTTTTTTTTTTTTGTAGAGACAGGGTCTGGCTACATTGTCCAGGCTGATCTCAAACTCCTGGACTGAAGCCATCCTCCCACCTCAGCCTCCCAAAGTGCTAGGATTACAGGCATAAGCCACCATGCCCAGCCTCTATTATTGATGGGGAAAATTAGAGAAATGAAGCAACTTGCCCAAGGTCACACAGCTATTAATGGTAGAACCAAGACTGGAATCAGGTACTTTGATTCCAGAACTTCCTTCTGAATCATTTTGCCAAGCTCCTACTTTGGTCAAAAAAATGAACAATAGTATTATTTATGATAAAAGAGATATCTTTGCTTATTTTGTTTACAAATTTATTTTTCATTTTATTTTTTTTGAGACAGAGTCTCACTCTGTTGTCTCGGGTAGAGTGCAGTGGCATCATCATAGCTCACTGCAACCTTAAACTCCTGGGCTCAAGCCATCCTCCTGCCTCAGCTTCCTTAGTAGCTGGGACTATAGGTGCACACCACCCACACCCAGCTAATTTTTTCTGTTTTTTGGTAGAGATGGGGTCTTACTCTTCTTTAGGCTGGTCTTGAACTCCTGAGCTCAAGCGATCCTCCCACCTTGGCCTCCCAGAATGCTAGGAGTACAGGCGTGAGCCAAAAACTTGTTTTTAAGTCTCTCTTAGGGCCAACTTTACCCCATGGAAAGTAAAGTATTCTAGGCCTCAACAGATTTTATATCATTCTTGTAAAAAAGACATATAAAAGATGGATTAAGAAAAATTGAGACAGTGGACCCCTCTCCTCACCAACATGCTCATATACCTGTTTAACTTCTCCCTATTTCCATTCAGGGTTCATAGTACAGCACATACAGTATGACCTCAAGCATCACACATTCAAAAGCCAGCTATGGGCAGGTTATTTAATCTCCCTAAATTTTAGTTTTCTTGTAAGTATGTTCAGATTACATGAGATTATTTAAAGTACCAGGCACATAGTAGATGTTTAGTCAGTAATAGCGATACTTATTATTGTTGTTGTTATTATTATTGTTATTATGTATCCTTACCACAGAGGGTATGAGAGAGCTGGGTTTTTCCAGTACGAAATTCTGTGAAATAGAGAAAAGATAATAAAAAACATGCATAGTTAGTTTTTAGATATTTTCACAAAGAATAAAACATGGCCTCAGAATATTACTGTTTTCTTTTCCAACTGTCAAATCTCACTTGGAAGACCAGCATGGCGAACAAAAGTTAACTCTCATAAAAATGTTATTTGGTTCTGAACTTCGGTGGGGGTTGTATCAATTTATGGATGAAGAAATGAAGGCTCCAGAAGAGGTACTGCCGGACACTGTGCCAAAACAACAGTTGCCCCACTGGATGGAGTAAAGTTTTTATTACAAGCTCACAATCGCTATTAAAAGCATTTAGGAGTATTTTCTGCATTGCGTGCTGTTCCCCCAAAGGAAGGATACCTTGGATTGTATAAAGAAATTGGTGCAATGATGATTTGAATCTTTCCCTATGGTGCAATCCAGTTTATGGCATTTCAACATTATAAAACATTAATTACTACAAAGCTGGGAGTTTCGGGTCATGTGCACAGATTAACGGCTGGATCCATGGCAGGTATGACAGCAGTTATCTGTACTTACCCTCTTGACATGGTTACAGTACGCCTAGCATTCCAGGTGAAATGGGAACACACCTATACAGGCATTATCCATGCATTCAAAACAACTTATGCAAGGGAAGGTGGTTTCCTTGGATTTTACAGAGGCCAGATGCCTACTATATTAGGAATGGCTCCATATGTAGGTGTTTCATTTTTTACTTTTGGTACTTTAAAGAGTGTTGGGCTTTCCCATGCTCCTACCCTTCATCAGACAATCCTAATGTCTTAGTTTTGAAAACTCGCATAAACTCACTTTGTGGTGGTGTTGCTGGAGCAATAGCACAGACAATATCCTATCCATTTGATGTAACTCATCGGCGAATGCAATTAGGAACTTCTCTGCCAGAATTTGAAAAGTGCCTTACCATGCAGGACACTACGAAGTATGTCTATGGACACCATGGAATGCAAAAAGGATTATATCGTGGTTTATCTCTTAATTATATTCTCTGCATCGCCTCTCAAGCAGTGGCTTTTACAACATATGAAATTATGAAGCAGTTTTTTCACCTCAACTAAAAAAAAAATACATCATGGTTTGTCTTCCTTAATAAACTCTGAGAGAGAGAAATAAAATGTGAATTTAATTGTGGGGTGAACGTTACTTGAAGTGGGATATTTACCCTGTGACAGGAACCACTGGTATTTTAGCACTTGATTTTTTTCTTTTTTACTCACAAATCAAAAGTGCTCTCCATACTTTTTGATGCCAAAAATAGATTTGTTTTTGTTAGATGATTTTGTTTATATTAGAAAATTTATTTAAGTGGACTGTGAAATATCCATTAATGTAGATGTGAATATCAAAGAATGTTTC